ATTTCTCAATAGCTGAGGAAAGTCTCGAATATATTTTGCAAACCGACGATAGCTCTGAGTGGGGATACATTTTGGAAGTGGATCTCAGTATACCTGAAGAACTAGCCCCCTCACGTGAAGTTATCGGCAAGGATAAACTAAGTAACGAGCAAATACAGATGTTATGGTAGATGCGGGTCACGTCGCTACCAAAGGTACCAAAACTGATTCAAACATTAGATCCAAAAGAAGGGTACGTTCTGCACTACCTTACATTAAAACTCTACATAGAACTGGGCTTAAAAGTTACCATATTGACTAAGGTCTAAAAAATTTCGTCAAGGTCGATGGATGGAGCCCTTTGTGGATTTAAACACTCGATTGAGAATGTCAGCGCGCAACAAATTTGAAGAGAACTTTTACAAGCTCATCGTAAATTCAGCATTCGAAAAAACTATGGAATCAAAACTAGGACGCAAAAAACTAGAAATAGTTAGGAACGGAAGAGAGTTGCGTCAAAAAACAGCTTTGAGCACAATGAAAAGCTTCCAGATAATCGACGAGGAAGTTGTTACTGTTTGTTTTGCTGTAACGATTATTTTGTGGGACAAACCCATGATAATTGGTGCAAGTATTTTGGATTTAACGAAAAAATTCATGTTTCACTTTCATTATCAGCAAATGAAAGCAAACATGAACCTTGAACTGCTATACAGTGACACAGATTCGTTTATTTAAGCGATAAAAACCGAAAACGTATACGCAGATCTGCAAAAAGTTAGCGATAGTTTCGATTTTTCCAACTACCCAAGCGATCACTTCTTATTCAGCAATGTGAATAAGAAGGTTGTATTAAAATTTAAGGACGAGCGAGGCGGCGGGAAAAAACATTCAAGAATTCATCGCGTTGAAACCAAAGTTCTACTCGTTGAAATATGCAGGTAAGTATTGAAAAAAAGCACCTCTCCAAGTCCCCTCCATTTTTTTACCTTAAGGGTTCCATCCATTGGGGTGTTTGATCTTGTTGGGACCAAATAATAACTTTTGTTGATCCCTGTCATTTTAAATAGACATAACTAGCCCTGAAAGTCTCTGATTCTTCATTTTAAAACTTGAAATGAAGAACCATTCATCATTTAAAATGTTTTAATTAAATACTCACCACAAACGCACTTTTGTAACTTTTGACGTGAAAATTTTGACATGGAATGATTTTTTTGATAATGACACGATTTGGAATTTTCATGATTTGGAATGAATTAAGATATTTAAACTTTTTGGAACTGAAAAAATAAGAATGTTATTAGATATTGAGTCTTTAAAATATTAATATTTGGGAACCGTTTTCGATATTAACACTAAAACTGGGCTTGCGAACTTTTATGGGCTTACAAAGCTAAAATATGTTTATGGGTTAATCTCTGTTCTTCATTTAGATTCAACTAGCAAGAGGAGTGGTGTAACACTCCCAGCAGCAACTTACACACCAGAGGTTCAAGGAAACATTACTGAGTGGAAAAACCCTTCGTATACACAAACACTCAAAAAAATCGAACGCCCATACCAACATAACCTTAGCGCAGAACCGAATTGCCCTTTCACCCTTCGATAGTAACCGGTTCTTACTATTCGACGGGATAGCTACATTGCGCTTTGGGCACAGGTCTACCGAAGAAAATGCGTTCTTCGAGGCCATTGCGGAAGAAAGCGAGTGGGCAAACTCACAGTTGACAAATACCCCGACTTATAGCAGCGAAAACAGCGAAAGCTGGCAACCACCGGAATTCCGGATCCCAGATTGGGGCTTTCTTCAAGAAAGCTATACGGAGGAAGAGCTTTAAGAAGAAAGCGCAGCTAGCAGTTCAAGAGACCTTCCGCCTATCAATAACTCTTTCATTCTATCAGAAGCGTCTGTTAGTTCTAGTCAGAAAAAAGGAGAAAACTTGATAAAACTGATCAATAAAATCTTTTTACTTAAAAATGTTGGCTAAATTGTCTTGTTACTTGGAATTACGGCAGTACATTTGTAAATACAAAACATTCAGCAAACATTGTTTTAAGTTAAATAGACCGGCGCAAAAGAGACTGGTAATTGCAACTTACCCTTGAAGCAGGAGCGAAGGATTGCGTATTTAGTTTCCCAAAGTAAGCTAATAGTAAGGCTAAAAAATTCAAAATGGTATAAGTAGAAAATAAGGGAGAGTTGGAAATAAGTTTGAAAATAAAATAAGAAAAAGAAACGAACAATAATTACCAAAAATTTTTAAAAGGAAATATGAATGATACTTCATGTAAACTCATATTTACATGAACGAAAAGGATTAGCTTTTAGATAAAATTAAGCGAGAAAACCGCATCCGGATATACCCATACTTAATTAGTGGTGGGAAAGTTTGGAAGGGATTAAATTTAACCACCGCGCGAAAATAAATACCAAAGTATTTTGACTGTCGGGTGTCCTAAGAGAGGGGTCTTTTTATTTTGGGCAGGGTACTTTGGGGTCTTTAAAAAAGATGGGTCCTTTTGGACCCTACTTTTGGTAGGGCCTCAAAAACCCCCGCCGTCGAAAAGACCCCCCCCCCTTAAGACACACGGCGGATTACAATACTACTCATGATACTTCGGACGCCAAATGTACGTACAGCACAGAAAAGCACTCTCTTCTGCCAAAACTAGTTTACTTAACTAAAATCTCTTTCACTGAGTTGTCTCCTTTTTACGCCTGACATGATGCGCGCGTTAATGCGTCAGTCAAAAGTGATAAATTTTGTTCTAAGATGCAGGCGCCTACTTTTTAGAAAGGAAGGAAGATTATCACACTAAAGAATCTAAAATCTATCCTTTTAGGAACTTTTAAAAACCTTTTCAAAACGCGGAAAAATTCGAAAAAATTAGAATGGCAAATTAAAAACCAGGACAAAAAATTAACTAACGAATGAAGGCCTTGCGGGCCTTCAACTTTTCCTCTTAATAATAAAGCTTTGTAACGTTTTTTTTTCTAAGTTCTTTGATGCATCATTCATGAAAAATATGTTGCATAATTTATGCAATTTTTCTAGGCGGGGGCGTTTTTTGAAATTTTTTTAAAAAATTTTGCCGGCCTTTTTGATTGTCTGAGCCTCCGAAAATCCTGTAAGGATTCTATTTTGTCGAATGATTTCTGTGCAACAATCGACTTTTTGAAAAATCGGGCTAAAAACGTGTGAATAAGGGAAATCAAATGAGTTACCAAGTCTAAAAAATGTTAATGATGAGTTGGGCTATAGAAAAAATTGAGAACAACTCCAGTTTTGCAAAAAAATCGACTGTTTTTATTGAATGATTACTCAAAATAATGAATCTTAAGGAATAGGTAAAAACGAGTATCAAAAACATAAACTAAACAGACTTTTTCAACCAATTGCCGTGGAATTTTGGAGTCTAATGTTTACTAGTTGTTTTTATGGTGCAAACAGCCATTTATTTGAAAAAAAAGCAGCGAAAAACAAATTGCACCATACTAATTGTGTCTTAACTCGAAACAATTTTTCCTTTTTGTCAAAAATCAAACCAGTTTGAAAAAGCAATTTATTTCTCAAGTTTTCCCCTGGTATTTTGTATCCGCATCGTTTCGCACGCCAGCTCACAATACAAACAGTTTAGAATTAAATTGTAATTAGATAAAACTATCAACCATTGCCAACAGACAGTTGCAAATGTGGTTTTGAGCTCAAAAAAAAAACAAAAAAATGAAGTTTTAAAGCATTAATCTATAAAAAAATATATTGAGCGTAAGAAACTAGTAACGAGGGAATAATATCTCTGACAAAAAAAAACCAGATGCGTGCGTGCAATTTCTAACCAATTAGCTCCCTTCCAACTGACCAAAACTGGTTTACTTCACGTTAATATCTTTCGGAAACTGGAAGCCGAATTTCTGATTGGCTGACATTGGATTTATGCAAAACATTATGAGGCTAAACGTTGCACCGGAAGGCGCCAATTTGGTGTCCGTAGGTCACTGGAATCCACAGAAGAGTCTTTAAACGTCCAAAATGTGAAGATTCGTATTTGTAACCTTAAAGGTTGTTGGCACGTTAGTTTTTCAGCGTACTCCGCAACGAGCAAACATAGATACTTGTTTTGACTTCCTCATATGTAAGCAGATTCTGCAGAGGTAAGCGGTTTCCGCAATTTTATGCGGATTTCACTTAAGATATGCGGATTCCACTTACAGTTGCGAATTCCACGACAGCCTAATTTTACTAAAAACATGTTAGTATTTGTTTATGCATTACAGAAACTATTCCGGATTCGACAAACTTTGTTGCGGATTGTTCAACTATTGTCGCGAATTCCACAAAATTGCCTCTTTGGAACGGTTTCGAGCAATACAGTGTTTTAGCTATTTGTCAGAATAATCCAAAGCAGCAAAGAAGATAAAAGAAAAGTAGCAATTTTGCGGATTCCGCAACAATTCTATTTCTAGACTGTTGCGGAATCCGCTGACAATTCACAAAATAGTTTGGCCTCGTAATAAAAAAAAAACAGAAAACACAATACCTAAATAAGGGCCTTCAATTCATTCATTGACCTTAAAAATGTTATCAACACGTGAATATAACACTTTACGGATAATTGACTGTTTCTTACAAGCAGTTTTTTTTGCAGGATGCTAGCATACACTAACATTAAGTGATCGCGGTGATAACAATAACGCTTCAAGCTATTAAATTTTTTTTTGCACCCGATTTGTCTATATAGATTACGTCGCTAGATAACGAGAAGAAGAATTGAGAGTAACTCAGTTTATCAAAATTTTAAAAACACTTGAATCACTTTGAAAACAAATTCACCAACTTTTACTGACTCTCTCAATAACCACGCATCATGTTCTTTATGGCCAAGTTAGATTCAAGTTATCTCAAATGATCTGGTCACTGACGAGTGGTATGAAATCAAGCTTGTCAAGCTAAACTTTTCATTTCCATTTGAGCGACTGACTTCGAGGAATCTGGAAAACAAATTCCTAATTGCTCGAAGAAAACGTGAAAATAAATTCAATTTGGCAGACATCTACAATTATTATTTACAGTTGACAATAATATAAATCTATTCGACAATAGTATCACAATGTACAATATACAACCAGTCAAGTCCTCTGAGTTGCTGCTATTTACATATATCCCTTATTTGTGTTCTTTCAACAGCCTTTCACGAATAGCTCTCGTTTCTAAAACAATCAGAGATTATTTACTTTTTTTAAGTATAAACAAGTAAAATTAACCATTGCTCTGATTTGCTACATCTGATAGCAACATCCAGTTAGCAGTTTTTGTTTCGTAAATCACCCGAAAACTGAAAAACACCGCAACACAAAATCCAGCAGTTATTTAACTTCAACTTGACTGCTCTTTTTATTCACGAAATGCCATTACAGATATAATGCTATTACAGCATTTATTTGCGAAATGGCTTCAAGAAACTTAGATTTCCTAATATAGCACTAAACTCCGCTTTAGTGAAAAAAATTAAGCAATCGGAAAAAGGTACGGCCTATATGTTGGCGCCTGTTTTTTGGTGGCCATCGATGTTTAAACCTGTGACAAGAAAATCCGCAAGATTCAAATAATGACGTAAGCTTTCATGAAATCGGACGCCGTGGCTTCGGTCGTTGCTAATCAGTAGCTTTCTTTTCTGAAAATTCATTACTTTCACGCCTTTTCTACACAAGCGAAGCGTAGAGTGGCACTTATAAAGGAGGAGGTAGAATTATTCAAAAAAAGGAAATTTTAAAGCCCGGTTTTAGCTTGTACAGCGAATACAGCTTTGCATCTATGAGTAACCAATGTTTTATTTTGAAACCGTTTTCTAAACCATTAAACTAAAAAAACTCCAGCTTCTCTTATTGCTCCAACCACTTCACTAAATCGGAAGGAATAATGGTGAAGTGTGTTTTCAAAAAAGTCGATTATCTCGAAGAAAGCTCGGATGCGGTCAAGTTTGGTATCAAATTAAAACACTTCCAATCGATTTTCGGATTCCAGATAAGTTTCAAAATGTCTGAAAAAAAACTGGTCTCAAGATCTTTGGTTGCCTATATTGGACAATTTGATTAGAACTGACCTCAAAATTTAATTCTATCATAAGTTTAGCTTTTATTGCGCTAAAGTTTGCATTTTTCAATTATCTCAAAATTTCGTCCAGCAATTCCAAAACGACTAAAAGGTTTTTTATTTTGATACTACCCTTGACCGCATAAAACCTTTCTTCGAAGCTATCAAAACTCGTAGAAAACGTACCGTACGCCATGACTCGGTTAATTCAACTTGAGTTTTCAGGAAAAGGTTTTAATACAACCTATCGGTTACTCATAGATACAACGCTGTATTCGCATAAACGAGCAAAAACAGGGCACTAAAATTTTGGATAAAAATTTTTTTTCAACACAGCGGCAAATACGCACTTCACAAACACAAGTGAGAAACGCCACGTAGCTTTAAAAAGGTCAAAAAAGAGAAATAAAAAAACTGATAGGTTTTCAAAAAGATCGGGATTGCACCTCAGTACTCGGACATCAAGTTTTTCAGTTCAATGTTCGACACAATTGTCCCACTGTCGCTTATAGAAAGCTGAAAAGAGCTAAAAACTGTACTAAAACATAAATTTAATAAACTAGTTTGTAATAAACTAAAGGCAACCACACTACATTTGCGACTAATCAGTTGGAAAGAATGAAGCCAAATTGTGCATAAATTATCCAATTCAAAAATTTCGGAAAAGGAGTCTTTAGTATTGCACTGGTGTAAGAAACAAATAGGCTTCTTCGGTGCATTTGATTAACTAAAAAGGCATCAACTAGGGGTTAACTTATTAATAATCTAACGTCAACGCTACTTAGGCTGAAAAAAGTAACCTTGTACTATAAGATTCGTTTGCGCAGAAAGGCGTGAAAGCAAACTAGCTTCAAAAAAGAAAGCCATAGACTACAAGAATCGAAGCTACCTCATCCGACTTCATAAGTACATACTTACCCATATGAATAATACTTCGACCTTTTTGGTCACAGTTTTACACATGGTTCACCACTAAAATCTAGACACCAATGAATACGCAGAAACAACTTAATATTAAGCTCAGCAATACAATGCCGGACTTTGCTTGAAAAGAGGCTAAGCAAACAAAAGCTCCACCAGTACCACCAAATTAAAACATTTTTTATATATTTTTTTACTTGTGCTCAATCGTTCGCCAAACAAAATTTAAAAAGCAAAAGCACTCCGTTTTTCCCTAAATTGTTTGTTTGATTGAATAATGCTTGAAGAATCACGACTGCAATATAACAGTAAGGACTTCAATATGCCCCGGTACTTTGTGGTGCATAAACTCGGTGAATTCCCATAGGTTCCAATAATCATAAGTTCCAAAATAAAAAATCAGTCGCATAAGTTCCAAAATTTATCTTCTTGAATTCTGATTGGTTGAAATTTGAGCCAACGAATTTATGGATCGATTGTTTACTGTTCAACCAGCATAAACTCAAGCTGCAGAATAGTGACCGCCGCAGCCGCGCCAACGTGTTGCGAGCTTGCCACCAAAGGGTAGGACTCTATACGAAATTTAGAGCCGGTTATCGCCGCTAAGCGGCGACGCGCGCCCACCGGCGACCTTAAACCGAGACTCGGTTAATTAAGTCTTTTGACCAATTAAAAAGATTTGGAACTTATGCGACTGCTTTTTTATTTTGGAACCTATGGGACTGATTTTTGTTCTCGTGATTAATTTTGCTCGTGGTGGGTTTTTTTTCTTCAGACAAATTTCGACTTCTTAACTAGCCTTTTTTGACGGAATTTTTAAATATTCGAAAGGTATTGTTGTCCTGAGCTTAAATTTGAAAGATATTTCACATGTGACCATTTTTCTTAAAGTTATGGGGGTTTAAAGATTGCCATTTTGGCCAATTTGGGACAATTGACGCGCGATATATTTCGCCCTATTAACGCGTAAGCGAGATTTAATCCGTCCTAGAAATTGTTCCAAATTGGTTCAAGGAAGCTTATATGCCATAATTGATTTGTTAATAGGAGCAAAATTTATCACTTAGTACTTATTATGACGTGTGGGGGGATGATCTAAAAAAAAATTCAAATTTTAGAAAAAAAATTTCATTTTATTTTAATACATTTAATTTTTTTTGTTTTTACTGCTTCATAAAACTTAAAAGGCAATCGGAACATTCAGGGCTTCGCGCTGATATGAGCAGTCTTGTTTATTTTGGAACCTATGAATACGCACCCATAAACTCATGAGAAAAAAAAACGCCGCGTTAGTCGGAAAAATAAGCGCGGTTGTTATAAGTCAGCTAACTATAGAAAGAAAACGGCGATAATTAATGGAAACTTGAAAACTTATTGAATCATGGACCGCCAAAGTGAAGTTATTTGCTTGAACAATACTATATCGATTCATTTGGTAGCCAGTCAATAAGCAGAATGGTCTAGGAGCAGACTGGGTCCAAGAGCAGAAAAATATCAACTTCTATAAGCTAATCGGTAAAATAATTATCAAACAAGTCAATAATAGCAAAGCAACGAACATTTTATGCATAATTTGAGCAATGAAATTAGTCAATTCATGCATAATTTATTCGTTTAGTTGGTATTTTTTGACGATTCTAATAATTGTTTTATCAATTAGCCCGTATAAACCAATATAAGTCAACATTTTTCTGTTTTTCTGCTTTTGGACCCATTCTGCACTTGGACCATTCTGCTTATTGCTCCGCCTTCGATTCATTTATAGTTTATTTTCAATTTCTTGGACCAAATAGCTTTTCGAAGAATTGTCTCTTTATCTCAATTTTCCGAATTATCGTTTCTGACCAACAGTCGCTTGCTTTTGATGAGTTGATATTGATTTTGGCCTCATGTTGAAAAATCAACTTTCACCAAGATGAAAAACCCTTTCTCACCGTGCGAATGAGATGAATGCGAGTATTGAGAACAGGATCTGAACTGCGATGAATGCGATCTGGACTCCGCAGATAATCACTTCAAACCTAGGAACCCAAACAGAATTACACTCAACTAACTAATCGTTTTAACTAATATAATAAAAAAATCATTTGCACTTTGCAGGCATTTTCTTCCTAACAGGTATCGGATTATTTATGATTTTAACTTTAATCCCAAGAGAACGACAATCGTTAATAGACCATAAGTCCAGTTCTCAGACGTCTCTGAAAGGAGATTTAATTTCGAAAAAAAAACTTGTCACAGCAACTTAATTTTGTAACAGCAACTTAATTTTGTTTCAGCTAGATTCATAATCATGATAGTTTGAAGAAATACGTTTAACAAATGTTATTCGACGATGCTAGTAAGCCTGCTTCACGCCTAGAATGCCCTGTACATTTTTTTGCGATTTATTTTTCAAAAACTGAGCAAGAAAAGCGAACTCAAACCTGAGTACATATGTCTGCCACAGTATGAAGTAGAGCAGACATATTACACAGGCCACTCCTAGCAGCATAGAAATCAACACTGGCACTTTTCGCTCCGTCAGGTTGCCACGCTTTCCTGAAACATTAAAGAGAAACACGACCTAAAAATTTGCATGAAGAATTTTCACTCGCTAAAAAAACCTTCCAATTTTGGCAAGGAGAGGGATTTTGTATTTAGACGAATATAAAGACGGGTTGATGGCTTTATCTTTTCTTAAGGGTCGTATAAATGTAATTTTAGGCAATATTGGAGTGGATTGTCAACGAGATCCGAATAAACTAATTGGCACTGAACGCAACATTTTGTCACTCTATGCCACCCATGAACTATTATACAACTCTGATTTAATAAATGACGTTTTTGAGCACCAACTGGAATTCAATTGAGCTTGCTTTTGTCAAACACAATTAACTGCACAACCCCTCCGTAAGAACGGAATCACGCAGAACGCCAGAAAAGGAGGTATCATAAGAGCACGTTCAGTCGATATTCAGATTATTGTATATATTGGTTCAGGGGTGGGTCAACAATTTTTTCAAGATGCAGGATTTTGAAAAAAAAAAAATGAGTGGACCGCTTTTTTAAGTTCGGCCAAATTAATTTTCCGAGCTCTTCTAAAACAGAATGAAGATCCTATTTTGCCCAGATTTTATGCACTCCTGTGTTTACTGTCGCCAAAGCCTTCTTTAGAAAATTTTTTGGTCGATCGAAAAAGAACGACTTGAAATAGTTCTTAAGGGGTCCCTTTGGGCGGCCAGGGGTTCGAATAACTAAGGGTGTGGGTCTTCTACATTACCTGTCTAAATCTGCTCTTTCTGATTTATAATTATGTGATCCTTTTTTCCAGCCATTTAAGGAAGTTTGTAGAGACCATGATAAATCACACTGATGAACAGGTCATAAATTGTATTATCATGACTCAAAAGATTCATAAAAATTCATTAATTCATCTTCACAGACAGTAAATAACCAAAAACGGAGAGGCAACAATGTCCTTGAACTTCCTTATGTTTCGAAACAGCTTTCAACTCCGGCAAAAACCATTACAAGAATTTAAAAATTATTAGCTTGACTGACAAGCAAGATTGAGCAAGGCAAGTTTATTGAGATTATGGAAAATCATGCAGTTTTATTTATGAGTACCAAAGCGGTTAATCATGAGCTCAATTTTGAAGGCATACCAATACGTACTACCATCATCATGGGCAGTTTCGCTAAAGTGACTAAAAGGTTACTTACCTAGATATTGTCTGAAGAACTCAACTCCAGTGAGAAGAAGAAGCACTATTATTTCCTGAGCCAGATCTGCGCGAGGGTATGGAAGAATTTCAGCTAAAATTCACATAATCGCAGAGGAATCTGACTCATTTAACAATTCCTTGCTTCAAAAACTCTTTAAGACGTTTTGACACTCAAACAAGCAAAAACGTAATATCTCGAGTTTCTTGCAATGACAAATGATATTGAGTTCAGGCAAACTTAAAAATAATTAAAACTTTTTTGCTTTAAATTTTGTCAACTATTTCTTTCAACGATCTCTTGAATTCCTACCTTTGTAGATGTACATAAGACACTCTGCGATGAAGAATGCTGCATAATACCAGGCATTGAAGAGAAACATGATCTGCAGAGGCAGAGATGAAAGGACCTGTGTTCCCATATCTACAGCTGAAAGACATGTCAACCGTAAAAAAAATAACAATAATTAATCAAAGACACTATCTGTTCTTTATAAAAGTGTGAATAGTTTGTTTTAGATTTTTTCGGAACCTACAATATCTCTGTTGTTAAAACATTGACATAAGCGACGTAAAAAAAATTAGCAATAAAATTTCGGTATTGTTATTTAATGAATGCATCGTAAGACTGCATTTAAGGAGTCAATGTATTCAAGGTATCAATTTTTCACCGCAGATAAAAAGAAATCACACATTTCAGGTTCTTCAAAAAATATCAAGAACTAACAAGAATCGACGGTTGCTGCGCAAGTAGCACAGAATATTCCGACAATAATCTTGAAAAAAAAAACGTGTTTTGATAACAAAAAGATTGGACGAAAGCCTAAAACTCAAGCATATGCGACACTCTTTGTAAAATTTACAAGATGAACATTTTTGTCTTGGTGGGTGCTATCCAATTCGCGTAGATCCCAATCAAAACGAAGCAAAACGTTCACAAAAATAACACTTTTGCTATGAGACTGTATCACTTAACCTCCCATCGACCAAAAGAATCCTAAAAAATCGATCATTTTGTTCCAACGACAGAAGGTGACGGTTTTATGATTGTGCCGTTTTTTTTCAACACAAAAGCAGATACAACAGAAAACCTCAGATTGATAACCAATTATTGCATCAAATCAATGAATTTTGATTCTTAGCCCTTGCATACACTAGCCAAAAACAAACACTTAAAAATGCTTCAAAAAATATAGTTACTTTGTATGAAACACTCGACAAACTGAGTAAAACGAAAAGATTAACCATATCACACTGATTGTTTGAGCCACTCTTAGGGCTGAGAATCATAGAGTTTGACTTTTTCCACGCAAAATGATGTCAGCTGTAAAAAATAATGGCTATCTCGGCTCTTTAAATGGCGAAATATAAGATGACTGAGTCATATAGATAAACATATAAGTCATACAAAGCCGAAACAATATGAGCAAAAAAACTTATTCAAAAAGCAGCTTTACAAAAAGAAACAAGAAAAAAAGAATTAGTAAACCTTTGCTGAGTTTTGGCTACGAACCAGCGACCTTGAGAATTGGGCTCTCACGCCCTCCCAGTTCGGCCAAGAACGCTTAAAAGTAGTCAAACACCAGTCACAAATAAATCAGCTACATTTGCCAATAAATTGGCAATGCAATGCAGCAAAAGTGGCACCGAATACAGCAGACATAATTTTGCATGTAATAAATTGGGGTATAAGAAACTAAAGGGAGCCACACTAACATTGCATGTAATAAATAGCAAAGCATAAAACCACATTCTGCATTTTGAAATTCTTCACATGTGTAAATTCTGTATTTTGAAAAATTGCGAGATATAATGAGTTAGAAGAATTTTTGAAATCGACTTTTTTTTGTATTGATATTTGAAGCAAAGAACTTTTTTTTCGATTGATTCGAAAAATGAGAAATGCTCCAACTGTGTTAAGTTATTACCAATCGAATGTCAAAGCACATGCTAAAAAAAGCCTAAAGACGCCACCAATATTTGCTACTTAGGTTAGAAAAAATAAAGTCGTACTATAATACTTACGCTCACTTAAGTTCGCAAGTTAAAAAGAGAAATAACTTCCGGTAGGGATGCGAACGCAAAATCTGCTGACCCAAAAGCATGCATTTTACAGCTAGATCAATTGAGAGGGGGACTGAAAGTTGAGGTTCCACAATAAAGCAAAACCAATTTCTTGCAGATTTCTATGAGTTCAAGGGGGAAATAGTTCACGATTACAAGTCACTCGCTCTGGCAAACGAAAAACCGAATCACACAAAATGGGTTAAGATGAAACCACGGTGATACCTTATTTGCCAACGATTAGTTCAGCTTATCTTGACAAAATACCAACGCTGAAAATATAAGCGAGCTAAAATTTGGTGAACGCCATTCACTCGTATACTCACGTTTCATGGCAATCAAACATATGGATTTTAAAATGAAAGATCAACTCAAATGTCAATGCTAAACTCTAATTCTTTTATCCAATAATTTTCACAGTATCGGTAAAACTTCTATTCAAAACAAGATTATTAATCCATAAGGTCAAAATCATCAAGTTCTTCGTTATACGCAGCAATGTGTCGTTTGATCTTCGAATTTTCTGTCCAAGTGATCAAATCTTGGCTCCGCCGCGTCACCAAAAATGCTGGATCTGTCACAAGTTCTGTTCCTACTTTCACATGTCCATGTTCTACCCTCTGTGTCGCAATTTGAAGCGTTTCTGACATGTTTAGCTTCTGCATAACCACCGGTAATCTTCGGCGACAAAACGACGATACACAAAGCTTGTCAATTTCCGCAAAGTTTCGATTCGTCGGAATAACGCCCATTAAGTATAATTTTTCAACTAGCCGAATGACATTTACATTTCGAAACTTGTCGTTCGTGTCGAGCTCTTTCAGTTTTTCGGCTAACTGACGGACTTCGGCTACAAGTTGTTTGTATGCGATGTACTCTTCTCTTTTACGCAGGTTGAATCTGCACATGATTTTCAAGATTTGTTCGTTATTGTCGATTTCCCAATTGATAAAATCCACTTTCTTCAGCAGTTTCTGCTCGTGATATTTTAGCTTCCTCATTTTTCAATCTTAAACTACAAATTCAGCTCTGCACAGATAAGCTAGCAACGGTAAATTATTTCTGGTATGTCCAAAACCTATGCTCCCTGCGGATCACTTGCAAACTTTTCTGCTTAATTATCCTCACAAAAAACTGATCAGAAAAAAAATCGCAAAAAAAAACAAAAAAGCTGAACTCAATTTCCTTGTACCATTCTGAATTGTTAGTTAACACCTTTATCAGATGTTTAATTTGAATCAATATTGAACCTAATAACGAAAACCTGCATATGCTACTCTATGAAGGAGGACTGGGACTAAATGAACATTACCCATGCCCCCTAACAACACAATCATTTCAGGGGGGAGATTTTGTTCCTACACTAACAACACACTCATTTTAGGGGGGAGATTGTTCACTTGGTCTATTAAGGGTGAAGATTGTCGACATGGGCCGAGGGCTGTAAAACAGATAGTTCTGAAATGATTGTAATGCGTTCCGCAAAATTTTTTCCAGAATTCATTGGTCTCTTAGTTCCACGATTCAACTATCGCCCTGTGCATTGTTAGAGTTGTTATTTACATCATCTTCCGAGTTAGTGGGCGAACCAGTGGCCATGATTATGGCCATACCCTCTCTCCCATTCATGTCCAAAACTAGCCTGGCTATATCCACGTTAGCCTGCAGACAAACAATTTCTTCCGAACCTCCAAATAAATCTACTATTTACTTTCGATAGCCACCAGATTACTTTTCTGTCATTATTCTCGCTAGATATTATAGCGAGAAAAACCAAGGTCAAAATCAATGAATTTTTTGGTGAACGAAGTGTGTGAAAAAGTAAAAAAAACTGAAACAACTAAACAAAGTATGTAAACAAACTAAACAAATGATGTATTACAGTTTTCATTTTGCGTATTTTATGAAATTGAACAATTCTGCTTTTAAATACCGAAATTTATGGCAGTTTGATATTTTTGTTGACTTGTAATTTCCGATAATTACGGTTAATTTACGTATGAAATGAAATGTTGTCAATCAGCCAGCTACACGAAATCGATCTACCTCAGAACCGAAACGAGACTAACAGCAATCGAGCTACCATAACACAGTGATGAAAAAAACCAGACAAACACCAATTTGCAGTAAGCTATACTTGAAAGGAGTCAGTTTTGAAAGGTTTCAACTCTTCCAAATACTTGCTCAGTTATTTCAACGCGATCTTTTTTGGATGAAATACCTGTGAACTTTGAGCAAAAAATGCTTATAAATCACATTTTAACCTGAACAACAATTGAAAATATTTATTCATGCTTTTGATTTAAAAATCAATAGATGAAATGGGCAAATTTTAGAGGGGGGTAAGGAAGAAACAATGCAGTTTTGCAACCTGGCGCATCTCGAGGAGGAGTCCCGTGATGTCAGACACTATTCTGGCGACAGAGGCACAGATGTCTGTCATTTGGTGCATCAGGTAAAGAGTACGCCTATTAACAGCTACTCGCTTAGAAGATTCAATGCCGTGTTAATTGTTCAATTTATTGAGGCATCCGTACAAATTTGGATTGTGAAACAATACAGAAAATGAATTTTCCATGGGTTAAATTTTTTGTTTTAAATTTTCATTGGGCTCAAAAAAATTCACCGATAGTAATTGGCAAGATGTTTTTTTAAGACAAGTTTGACATTATTCATATCATATTTTGTATTATAGCGAGTACCGTTGAAACTGCAAAAGCACACAGGCGCTGGCTAGGAAAGCCATAGAAGTTGTACAAAGAATTGACACCAGAACAATTGTCCAGTTGATTTTGATCCCAAAAATCTCATGTTCTTGGTTAGTAGCCGTATTGGTTAGAAACTGCATGGTTTACTTGTGTTATCAACTTACTGGATTGCTGTGCTTTTCAAAACGAAAGTCGTTGGAAATCACGAAGACATGCAAAGTCCTATTATTATCATCTTGGTTTTAACTTAATGCACGCATTTGACATCTACTTGATAAAACTTGATCAAAGAAACATTGAAAAAAAAATCAGCTTAAATTTATGTATTTCTTTTTCAAATAGTGGATAGACATTAAATTATTCCTATACAATAGATGTGTTCTCGGCAACAAACTAGTTTTTGCACCAACAATGAAAATATGTTCGAGTAGTGAAGTAGCATGATTAGCCTTTTCAGGCTGGCTTTGCATGAAGTATCAATTGTTAACAGGATAGCACATCTAAAATTTTAGCAGCAGACCAAAGAAGGTCCGGTAATTCATAATACATTTTCGCTTCAAACATCCATGAAATAAAAACATCTCCGAAGAGTTTTCACACTACATATAAATTGCAATAGATTTCGTTAAAACTCTACCTGGAAAAATTTGTGCAATATTAATAGATCAATGATTGAGGCCAAACACTTAACAACTCTCAGAAGTTTCATATACTTGATAGAAATTTATAGTTTCCGTTTTGCGTTTCAACTTACTAATTTTTTTTTAGCATCCGATTCAATTTGCTATATATTTTTCATGGTCTCTATTCACTCTTCGTCGCCTGATTTGATCATAGGACCAATCAGGCCATTCGCAGTCGTGAACAGATTAATTGGCGAATTTCCGTCTGTAATGAGGGTGGATTTGATTCCCAGTCCTGCGAGGAGTTTCGCCTGGGTGGCTGGACCTGCATTTGCCATGTCTCTGATAGTCTCTCTGCCAATAGCCTCAACCATATTCTTGAACTTCTCTGTCTCGATTGCTAGAAAAATTTTAAAAATCATTGTGGCATCACGAAATTGGTCTAAAATATGTTGAAATACATCTCAATTCATTTTAAACTGATAGTAGAGTCGATTTGGTGGTGAGCATTATTGCGCTGCTAGAACGATACACTATGAATACCAGAGAAAACCATAGCTATAAGTCAAAGATGTAAATGTTTACACAGAAGCGAACCAGAGCTTCGCACCACTTGTGATGGAGAAAAATTATTACCACTACTTGCAGATGAACCGACAAACGTAAAATTAGAAAACTCAGAAAAAAATTTGAAAACAGCAAAAAAATCCCATATTTTAGAACCGAAGTAACTGCACCTTTACAAAACTTAAAAACAGATGCAAAACAATGCTTTGCATTACCTGCAATACATCACATAGATCGAATGACAACCTACGGAAATAAAGATAAAGCCGCGGCACTTTTTCTGAAAAAAAAAATCAAAAAATTGATCTTTCAAAAAACTTCCACCATTTGTCTTGGTTTCTCTTGAATAAAGATTATTTTCAGGAAATTTAGCAGAGTAGTAACACAATTGAAAGTCATTTAAGCTTGGAAACAAAACCTATAATACAGAATAATTCAAAAAGGTTTGAATAAAACTAAAACCCATGCTTTAAAAAGTCAGCCGATCAAAAAACCCGACCAGATCAAAAAAATTACATTTATCCAAACGGAAAATGAACCGCGACAACAACTAGAACTCAAAAGGCAAATCTGAAAAAAAACTTCGAATACGATACCAATACGTAGCATACAAAAAATTATTTAAAAAACAATTATTTCCTGAAACGGCCTCCATCTAATTACAACCCTAATGATAGTAGTTTTATTCAAAATTTCAAGAAATTGAGCATGTCAGCTATTGAGGATGAAAGTTAACATTCCTAATAAAATTGACCATTCTGCAAAGTAAGGTATTGAAGAGAAAAAAGTCAAGTATCCGATTGCAATACCCTTGCTTATCGCAAGGGTTAAAACTATTAAAAGGAACCTGGGAGCTTCGAAATTCTGACAAATACAGATTTTTGCACGAAGTTCGCTTCAACGCCATTAGCTGCAATGCTAACTAAGTCAAACACATTCCATATGAGTGGGGTGTGTAAATTAGACAAGAACGAAACTAGAAGATTGCAAAAGGTAAAAAGTTTAATGAAAAATCTAACTGAAAAGAAAACAACGCGGCGAGTTCAAATATTATAATTATAGGTATAAGACGTCAGTTGCTAATGAATAGGTTCAGACGATTCCAGTGTTGAAACGACGATCAAGTACCTCACGTCAGCGTTATGCCCTACATATCCCGTCGGGCGCCAATAAGATTAGACTTGAGATAAGACGAAATCTTCATTAACGATTTCAATGTCGCCGAAGTCAACAAGGCTACAACAACCACAACAAAATATTCAAAAATCATAATGAAAAGATAGCGATTTTCTAGAGACTCCGGCAAATAATTTCATTTTTCAATCAAAGAAGTTTTTGGTAGTCCGATCTTTTTGACCAGAATCCAACTTCTTCTGAGGCTGAAAAACTTTTGAAGAAAATTGTAACGAAAGTCAGATCAGCCGAATCGAAGTGCTCTATATTCTGTGGGAAAAAATTATGTTTCAAAGTTTCACTGTAAATCGCCTTAATTTTCGTGACAGTTCTTCTCGATAGAATTTGATTTTTTTTCTTCTGAATTTTTCTTTTTTACTGTAATTTAGTTCAGCTTCATATTATAATTTAATGAGCATGTATACTCTTAATTGTATGTGTGTGAACGCAAAAGTTTTTAAGCTGAGTAAACGCCTTGTGTTTCTCAGAAATTCAAAAAGAGCACTTGACTTGAAGCAAGCAATTCTTATATCAAACCATCCATTCATTCAATTAGCATTTCTAAAGTATCTAATTCGCCTAATTGCATTTCTAATTCGATTACTTTCTCCGTGTCTGAGTTAGATTTTTCAGTCTAATTTTGGCTGTTTTTCACCTATTAAAGCTTTCGTCTTTTTCACCACATCCATAAGAGCGAATCTGCTTCTTAGATTCTTGTTAACCGGTACATGTACAAATTAGCAGAGCTATGCAAGTTTTCAGTTTCATAGCAGCTAATTAGAATTGAATATATCTGCACGGGCCAACGAAATAAGACAAGCTAAACAGACATGACAAAAAAAACATGTATTTAGACGTCACTGTACAATGAAAAAACACATTTATGAGAAATTAGACGTAATTCAATTGTTGTTGTTACTGTTTACAGTCTGTAGTCAAGTTTCGATTAAGCTTTCATAAAAGCAAATCAGACTTTCACAAGTCACAGATCTATACTTTATGCATTAAAAAATGGATCTTATTATTCGGCTAAAGGTTATATAAACCATTGATAATACATATTTCGATTAGCAATGAGATGACATACTGTTTTTGTATATGTGAAATTGTGTACTAGGCATTAATTTTCGGTCCCCCCTTAGCTTTTAACCAAAAATGCTAGCTTTGCAATAAAAATTTGAACGTCTAAACTCCGTTTTGTAAGAGACGTCTAATTTGCTTGTCGTCTAATTTCCCGCCCCCTCCCATCAGGACTTACTTGCTAGATCCTTGGACTTATTAATCTCCAGTTCATTCTGTGCCCTGACGTAGTCTAGCTCGGCCACTCGTGCCTCCTTCAGTCTCGTCAGTTCCGAGTTGGCCTCTATGTTGGTGGCCTCCGCCTTCAACTTCGCCTGCTCAACTGCCGCCTCGCCCTCAATCCTGTTCGCCTCTGCCCTACTCTGAGCCTCCGCTTTGGCCTGACCTATATTCAAATACTCATACATATAACATGCAAAAAGCATGAGACTAATTTTTTATTTTTCAATCAGTCAAATGCAAAAAATTGGACGCAGAGTTGAAACAAACAAGAATTTATAAATTTGAAATTTTGTAAAAATAGCTTCAGTCAGTAGTCAATTTCTTAGTAATCAAAAATAAGTATGGCTTACTCACAGGGGCGGATTTAGGGTCCTCCCCTCAGGGATTCGACACCCGGCCGACCCAAAGGGTCCCCCTTTGGTACTTTTCAAGAAATCCATTTTTGGCTGACCGACCCTAAAATTTTTCTTAAGGCGCTTTTGGCGCCAATATATACTAATTTTGAGGGGAAAAAATGCGATTTTTTGGTCAACATTTTCCAAAAAGTGCCTAACGTCATTTTAGGACTGTTTTTTTTTCAAAATTTTGCCTGCGGCGCAGAAAATTGGGCAAAACAGGGACTAAACAGTGCTTAGGGAGAGCTCAAAAAATCAATTCAGTCGACCTAAAAAAAAGGTCGACAAAATTTTCGAAAATTTTTTGAAAATCCGCCCCTCTTAAGAAAATCCTAGATCCGCCCCTGCTTACTCACTTTCATTTAAGAAAAATCAACGTGAGCTTTCACACAGTCTCAGAAAAAAGTACAAACCATGTCATATCACAACATATACCACTGGATCTCATATTACTAGATCTACCTACAATCAAATTCCAATAAGGCGTTCGTTTCTGCTATACGGCCCAAAATTAACCTATTTATTAATTTGAAAGCTAGACTTTAATGATCGAATCTGCTCGGTTTAAATTAGTTGCAGCAAAAGTAAGACTAAAATTGCATTAAAATCAGAAGCTCAATTATCTCAATCACAAACAGAACCTCAAACAGAGCCAAAGTAAGAGTAAAATTGCATTAAAAACAGAACCTCAATTAACAATATGGTAGCATTCGGTATATGACAGAGATCTAAGATGCGAGTAAGGTACCTGTGCTCTCGACAGCAGCCGAGCTGGCCTGCAGTTCCAGCAGTTGACACCTGGACTTCTCAGCCTCTGCCTCGTCCACCAGCTTCTGTCGCTCCAGTCGACCTTGAGCCTCCTGCTCCAGACGCTCTGCTTCTTGTCTACGAACAAAACAAGTCTTGTCTTACACTGGTATTGTTTCAAGGACCAATTAAATTAGTTTGTCCTATAAAATCAGCAGCTGTATATTCAATAAAATCGGATACTTGCATACATTCAACCATTGGCAACTGGAAATGGGTGGATAGATTGAGGATTCGAATTCATTTCACAGAAAAATTTAACTCACTTCACCGAAAAGTTACCGATCCAAAACAGATATCATTTCCTAAACGCGTCTACTACTGTGATTTCATTAGTTTTGCAAATTCTTCTTTCATGTTGTCAACTAGTATTTATAAAACAACGGGATTTTCGGCTTTTTATTCCATTTACAAGATTTTTGATTACACTACCTAGCAGTTGCCTCTTGTGAGTTGGTGGTGATCTCGATGGCCAGCTGGACACTCTTCTGGAGAGCATCCCTCGTCCTCTGGTCAACTGGCTCCACACTCTGGATGTCGATGCTTGTGATGCAAAGACAGTTCTGGGGGAAAGAGAACGACTGCCTCACTTTGCCATGCTCGTCCATTCCAAACACAGACGAGCGGATGATCTTGGCCGAGTTCTAAACAATAACACACAACTAACTATCTATAAAATTTTAAATTTTGGTTTCCAATTGTTCATGCTAGCATGATCAATGATATAACAGAACCTATGAGCAAAGGCGAAGTGCATAAGGCTTCCGAGGCAGAAAAAACGAGACCCATTTTGATAAGTAATCATCGCTAGAGTGTGAGAAAACATTTCGACCTTCAATATTTTGCCAGTGAGCAGAGACCACATAAGAATTCAACCACAAAAGAAAGAAAATATATGAGCATGACAAATCATCAAAAAAACGAGTTACTGACCTTGTGGAAATCATCGAACGGTACACTAGCTACTGCTCCTCTCACTCGGGAAGCCACTGCCTTGCAGCAATCTCCTACGAAATCCGGAACCGAGAAGATCTTAGCCGCCTGCTCCAAACTTTTCTCCTTTACATCGAAGTGCCAGTTGTACGACAGCTGCAGCGACAAACGTGCGTGATCGGAAGTTTCGACCACGATTATATCTGTCATGAAATCGGGACCCATGAGGAGGCAGAGACTTTTGATCACGTTGGGTCGCTTCGGCTTGCCACCCGAGATACTAAGCTGGGTGAACTGTTCGTCAGGTCCGAGCATGACCAAGTCGGGTCCGAAGACGACTCGTGCTTTCTTCAGTTTGTAGTCATAGATTTGACTCGCAGCATTGTGTGGTACTCTGAAAGGTAACAGCTTAAATATAAACAATATTGCCTCAGATATATAATCACGGTTCTTTTGCGTAATCTTTGTTGTCTTTTCAAAAACGTCACACAAAGCTTAACTTTTTTAAACTGATTCACATTTATTGCTTGCTTTTGTTTCAAGATAAATTTAAGCGCCAGACCAAACACTAAAATTGCCACTAAGCTTACTGACCTGTATGTGACTACTTTAGTTCTATCTCTTGGTTTGGCAGAGTCCGATTTCTGGCTTCTGTCACCCCTGTCAGCCAAAGGGTCTTTGGACTGCGAAAGAAGACTCTCCACCGCTCCTGACATATCCTTCTGCCAAAGTTCCTCATCTTGTGTGATCATGTACGTCTGGCCAATTACTGCTCGCACTTTTCCTGACTTAATGTCGCTAAAATATAAAAGTCACATTCAATTTAGATATTCCAAAATGATTTTGAAATTTGTTATATTTGGCGTTGACGCTCTTATGTGTCTGTGGTCTTTTTTAAATCATGCTCAATTTTTCATGCACAAAGGAAAACTTTCTGCTGGTTTAGGCTCTCAATTTGCCACAAAAGACGAACAATTTCTTGCTATTCTAGTATATTTCAAAGAAAGTTATAAGAGTTGTGTACCGAACGTAGATTCCTTCATTCTCATCCAAAGGAATTGCCTTTCGCCTCGTTACTACTTCAACTTCAACTCGCGGCACGTAGTCACAAGGACCTCTGATCATCCACAAATCTCCAGGAGCTCTCGGATTCCCAGCATCGTCATTGAATCCTACGCTAGCTTTCAAAATCAGACCATCGTCCTCTCCCAGCACATAGACATCCTGGATCCCGTTTTGAAGGTACTCTCCTGGTTGCAAGAAGAAAGAAATCTCTCCTTTGATCAATTTCTTCTGACCAAGTTGTGGCTTTCCTTTAGCGTCACAAGGATCCATCACAACACAATACTGTCTATTATTCAATGTAGTGATGTTAATGATTCCCAAAACCTCCTCATTCACATCAGGAATATGCGTTTCTGCGTCTTGGAAGGTAACAAGCCATTCCTCGCCTGACTTTCTGGTCTTGCCGTAGACATCTTTGAATGTCATTTTGGCCTGGAGATGAAGCGCTTTCTTCTCGGTCAAAACTACAGCATCTACAACATCGATGACCTCTTCGTATGCGCCAGGAAGATAAGCACCTCGCGATGTCACAAGCCATTCTTGGCCTACAACTCGGGGGTTTCCATTTCGGTCGAAAGTTTCTTTTCGTGCTCTGAGCTTGATAGCTTGGTTAGGCTTGATCACAGTGCTTCGGATCGTCTCATCAACAGCAACCTCTTTTCTCGGGATGTAAGTTCCTGGACCCTCAAAAAGCCACTCATCACCAGCAACTCGTTTAGTTCCGTCAGCGTCTTCGAAATCCAAAATAGACCGAAGTCTTAATGCAGTATTTGCTGTTACAATTTTGAGAGGAGTAACCGCTTGCTTTAGAACTTCTCCTGGATACAGCGGGAAAGGCTCTCGTGAAAGTCTGACCTGAAGAAAAGGAAAATAAAAATCAAACCTTGTCAACTCAAAACGACCTCTACGGCTGTTAAATCTTCTGCATAGCTAAATTCTTGCCAGAATTCAAACAAAATGTTTTCATTGTCAATATGGTAAACTTTGTCAAGCAGAATAGCTTTCGAAGAATGCCTTGAAAAAAAAGGTTTCGAAGTATGCCTTGCAAAAAGAGCTTTCGCAGTATGCCTTGAAAAAAAGAGCTTCCGGAGTATGTCTTAAAAATAGACACTTGAATTATGAAACCGAAATTTTTGTAAATACAGACTCATTCGATCAGTGAAAAAAGCGTTTGAGGTAAATTTTAAATAAGTCTTCAAATAAGTAAATATTGATTTCTGAAGTAAAAATGAGTAATCACCGATTCAAAAGGAAATTTCGAACAGTTTGGCAAGAACTACCATAAAAAAGGTTCCATGACAAACTACCCGATTCCAATTTACCCGATGCCACTTTACCCTATATTCTAAACTACCCTATGCCAATTTAGCCTAGGTTCTATAAATAGTTCAATTGGTCAGAGATAACTGAGCTGACTATCTCAATTTAAGGTCGCCGGTGGGCCCGCTACGCGATAACCGGCTCTTATTTTTGTTATAGAGTCTTACCGTCTGTAGGCAAGCTCGCAACACGTTAAATCGACTGCGGCTATCATTATTTTGCTGCTATCATTTCGTCTTAATTTAGGCGAAGGGTAAATTGGCGTTGGGTAGATTGGCATAGGGTAAATTCGTATAAAGGGTAGAATGGCAAAGGGTAAAATTTAATAGGGTAAATTGGAATAGAATAAGTTGTCCCGCAACCTAAAAAAAATACTAACCTCCAGGTCAGCATGCCACAATTTGACCTGGCCTGAGGGGTCAAACTGCACTTCTCCTTCGGCATTGGTCACAATGGGGTTCTCCACCACACAGTAGTGCCTCGGAGGAACAACGATCATCTTGCTCGTACCAGACACCACTCGCTCATTATCCTGTCAGTCACAAAAATCATAATTTCAAAACCAATAAATTTTTCAGTGAGAATAGAAATTGATAATTCTATGAGAAATCATGAAAGAGCTTACAAAGAGCAGCAAAACCAAAAATGGATAAAATAAAACAGTTTTCATTTAAGCTGTCACTGCTTGCGGGTCAAATTGGTAGAAACGTCTAGATAAAAAACACTGCTTCCTTATAGGCAGGTATCAAGTGAAATGAAATAAAGTTTATAAAATCCCGCACTATTAAACCAGTAAGACTTTTTATTGTCACTTTTTTTTGTTACATATCATGCTTGGATATAAATTAGAAGGACCAAAATGAGAAAATTTTCAAAGCCTCGTGAATCCTTAAACTGGAAAACGATCCCGCGTAGAATGTATTCACGGAACAAATTGATTTTTGAGAAATTCTAAGCATTGAACTTAAGGATTCGTGATCGCAAAAGTCCTCACCTGTCGAATGTATGTCTGGGGTCCGACCTCAACCCGGGTTACGTTTCTGTTCTGGTCCAAAACATGGATGAAGAAATAGGGCGGGATCCTGAAGATAGTCTCGTCTGCATTTCCAGGCATGGTCGAAGCTGAACTTTTAGTTTTCTGTTTTCTTTCACTGGACATACAATTCGTATATTAAAATGGCTAAACAAGTCAACCAAATCTGCACTTTACGATCTAAAATATGAAGTTTGGATGTCAAGAAACCAAATTTTGTTGTTTTGCAAGTTTAAGCAATCAGAGCAAATTTTATTTTAGTAATAACTCAAACAATTCAATACAATATTATTTGTTATTAGCAATCAAAACTTCCGATTTGATTTTCCGAATTCTTTTCAATAAGCAAACTTTCAGATACATACAATTATCAACGCTACGTCGTCCGAGCACGAAAAAGCCAAAAATGAAAACAGCAAAAGCTAAGAAAAAAACTTACCTATATCTAGCCGATAAAACTAGTTGTTACGCGAATGTCAATTAATTTTAAGCAAATACTACGCTCTACTGCAAAGCAAATGTTCAGTCAGAAAACTGAACACAAAATAAACACCTCCAACTGAGTTCGAGCGGCATTGAATGGTACACTTTATATAAACTATCTCGTCATATTTGCGTCACAAACAGAAAAATTCGGCTATAAATATTCCAGCTCTGAGAAGCCAACTGCTTCTATTGAATGAGATTTGCGAAGGTGTATTAAACAAAACGCTTCAGCTTAAAAGACACGTGTAGATTCAATGACCGCTTGGTTAAACATTTAATTTTCAAACTGAGAAAAAGGGCTAGAGTTTGAAATAGATCCAGGCAGTTTTTCTTTAATTTAAAATATTTGGACGAATACGGAAAAAAAAGATCCTTTGAGGGTGCCGCTAAAACATCTGACCACATCAAAAAAAAATTAGAAATTAAGTTTTTTGCTTTTAAAAATAAAAATTTGCTTTTAAAATTTAAAATTATTTTGAATACTTTCATTACAAAGGAAGCGCTAAATTACGCTTCCACAATTAGTTTCCTGTAAGTAAAATCAAAATTTCTTAGCATAACTGCCAATTTTTATTTTAAAAAAACGCTACTCGATCGCATGGAAGATTTTCGAAATTACGACTGGAAGGTCTTTTATGTGATATATCAATCAACCCATTCCGATGATTATTTGTGGTACCTAAATTTGTGTGGAAAAAACACACCCGAAAACAAAGTTCCTTGCCATTTTCGATGGTCGGATCAAAAAATAACTGTTTGTAAAAAATCACCTCGAAAAACGCGTTATCGAGTATATAGAATTAATTACTATAATTTTGGATCAAAAAATCAATGGTATACAATAAAAATGTTATTCCTAAGACAAAATTAGATTTTTGCGCCTCACTCTAAAAAACATACCCAAGAAACAGTTGAAAATGTGTCCATGAACTCAAGTTAAACAGAAAAAAAAACTATTTTTTTTTAATTTCGAGATTTTTATCACACTTGATTTTACGAAAAATTGATGATCAACAACTTTATTATAAAATGAGCCCAAGTAAAAAAAATGGATCAAAATAAATTTTATTTTAATCCGCTGGGAAATCCAAAAAAAATCAACTTTCGAACCTTTAAGTCATTAACGTTTTTCGCGCCATTTCCGCTTTCCTAATTGTAGAACGTAAGTTGCCTTCTTTTTAACAATTGAATTAGAATTGAAATGAAAAAGAAATTAAAAGTCAAATCGCAACGTTCAAATTTGGCGTGGTCAGATAGAACTTTTTCCTGAAAAACTAACAAAATATCATCAAAACCATTTTATAAGTGAAAAAAATCACTGCATTCTTTAAGAAAAAATTAATGCCCAAAAATAGAAAGTTTTGGCACTAAATGCACTTCAGTCAGAGAGCATTGATTGAACAGTAGATCCTATTCTTTTCGCATGACCCATTCCATTCTGCAAGGGTAGATTTGCTTTCAAGGATAGACTCTCAGTGGGTATTTACTTTGTCCTTCGTCTAAATTCTCCGTAGTCATTTTTGTTCTCTATCAGTTTTGACAATGTTGTATAAAATTTTGATTTGGGAAAAACTTATTCTTTCTTTCTTTCTGCAGTGTGAATAACGGGAACCAGGTCCGATGTTAGTGGCAGCAGTCCTGGCCGCACTTAAAAATAGGCCGATAACCAGGAGTTTCTTAAAACACCACCTGTTTTTTCTAACCAGAACTCATCAGTTAATTAAGAACGATAGAATACGAAAGAAGAACACCACCGACAACCCTTTTTAAGCTGGCGAAAGCAACGCAAGCAGTAGCAATGCAAGCTGGTCAAAAGAAAACGAGAGAGAAACATGTATCGCAAAAAAAAGGTCAAACCGAGACGCGAACCGCAGACCCAAGGCACGCACGTTACCGCTAGACCGAGAGAGAAGGAGTTCTATCAGTCAAACTCAATTTCTTACAGATTTGTTAGAAAAATTGTTTACGGGAAAGACTCTAGTTCCCGATTACTGGTGAAAAACAAAGAAAGACTTTTTTGCATAGCAGATCTTATTTTTCGACATAAAACTAGGTCATTACACCCCACGCACTCTTATTTACTATCACATTCCGCACACTCCAAATTCTATCAAAACCGAGTCAAAAAGAAAAGGACACGTTGGTAGAAACGTCGCAGAAAAGTATGCGAGAAAAGAGACAAAAAGCTTTGTCATTGGGTAAAAATACTTTTGAATCAATATCAACTCTCAATGTTTAAAAAAATCAATACAAGCGTCTCAAAAAAGTATGTACCAAATTTTAACACAGAGGCGAAATTGCAGTTCGCATACAAAAGCAAAAATATCACCGATAACGCTAATGGGAAAACTGAAAGAGTAAAACTTTGAATAGTTTCTGAAGTGACACACGCCAATTATGAGTCTACATATATGTTAAATGACGCAAGCCAATTATGCGCATTAGCAGTACCAGTCAGTTTGAAGAAAAAAACCAACTAACATGCCTCAATTTATAGAGCGGACGCACTTTAATTAGTATACGAAAAAGTTAATTAGTATACCTCGACGCTACAGATCCATGATATTTTGAAGCTAAAGTGCTATTCGTAATATAATAACCTGTGTTAATATCCTTAGCATGGGCTGTATTTAATAGCTGGTTATTGATCAAAATGAACACTTTCAAAATGAACGCATTTTGTCGCAACGATTGCATCGCAATAATATTAGCTAGGCTGGAAAAAAAAAGAGAGTTCATTCTATAACACAAGCTTTTCTTGAGTAAAAAATGGGTTAGAAAACAGTAAGCAAAAAGAGTTACGCCAATATAAAATTTGAAAAGGATTTAGACGCAAATTTGAATTTCTTCAAATAATCATTTCTTATGCCGCTGAAAAATCTTTTTCAAGTTGCACCAATACAAATCTTTGAAAAACATGCAGTATTCGTAGATAATTTCGGTCAAAGACAACTACTCTGGAAAATTAACCGAACAAATCAGTGGGCGCAAAATATCGGCCCCAAAATCCTCCCTTTCTCTTTCCTTAACAACTCATGAGAAATTAAACTCAGCGCTGGAAGTGCCTGCAATTAACACTTTTTAAACGCCTTTTTCAAATACTAAAGTCATTTTTAGGGTTTAAATTTTTTCAGTTTAAATAACGCCTCTTTTTGACCGTTTGGCAATATAATGCACGGTCTATTAGCAAGAAAGTTATTCGACATCGTTCAGTACACTTCGATAGTGTAAAAAAAAGGATAGTGAGAACATTTTCTCTCCACTATCCGTAGCTTTGTCTGAATAGCAGAAAATGATCAATTGAGCAACCCCCAAAATCTACGAAATAAAAACTAAAAAATTACTTTTAAGCCCCGGTAACTTGCTTTCCTCGAGGCAATGTTCGCCCAAACAAAAATTCGCAAAAAAAAACTTTTAAAAAATTTTCCGATTTTTTAAAACTTCATCTCGACATTCACATAAAATAAATTTCAATTAGTCAATTGATTGCATACTATGAACACATCAACCATCTGCTTGCCTTTGATAACGTATTCTGTAGTGTTTACTCAATTTTGCTGGGTGCGAGATAGCTCAATTTATTATTGCGGGGGGCATCACAAAAAAATTTAAAAAATTGTCCCAGTGTCGAGAAAAACATTTGAAATTTAGTCTTATTTCGAGCAAGTAACGTTCGTTATATGGAAATTTATCTTTTTTTCCAACTTCTAGGATAAAAAATCTTAATTTTACTAAGGAGAAAACTAACTTTGGATGTTTCATATACCGCTTGTTTGGCAAAAAAAAAACGCTTTCTAAAAATTGTACAAATTTTTTTTTTAATTTCGAATCCCACTACGCACTAAAAACGACTTTTTTTTCTGTATTTTTAATGAATATGGCCGAAACATTCTGTGCTACTTGCTATCCTAGTTAGGCTTTATGACTTCCTAAAATCACTGGTTAAACTATACAAGGGATTTCATTTGAAGTGAACGAAACATGTGCACAAATGTGAACGAAACATGTGATAAAAAATGTTTTTAATGAATTGATTGTTTGTTGGTTTTCGTCGTCGACCCAGAAAAAGAATTCAAATTTGCTAGCCTACAACCTGCAGACTGTGTAGATTGATATCAAAAACATGGGACATAATTATCTAGTTATTACAGCATGTTCAATTTACAAAAGGACAAAATTTGAGATAAAATTTGACGATATGATTAATAAATGGGAACATATTTCTGCAAGACATAGAAACCAGAAATAGAACGAAAACGAAAGCCTTTAGGCAATCAATAAATAACGAGATTGGTAACTTTGTAAGAAGAATCGACAGAAACAACATAGAACGCAAAATAGCGGGTTTTGTTAAACATTACACCCTATTGCAAAAGGGAGCATTAGCTGCTAAGTAAAAAAAAAATAGAATAATATTCACCATTGATACAGTCCATTAGAGGAGGACGAACGAAGTTCTTTATTAGGTAAAGGAGGGCTTTAAGAAAACGTGTTCACAGCTAGGGAACATCAATTTAGCCAAAAAATTCTAGAAATTTGGGCAGAACAACTTCAGTTGGTTAGCATGTACAGCGTTAGAGCATCTCTGATATTTGATGTGTGGATATTAAATATTGCACTCGCTTTCGAAACGCTCATTCCACATGAATGAACGGCAGTTAGAGCACACTTCAAATTGGGGTAATATTGCATGTCCATTTCACTGAGATAAACATTGTTCACTTTTTCTGGCAAAATAGGAGTATGTGATCTGTCATTTGATTGTCCGAGTAAATCATTGTTCAAACTCTCTCGCGACAGGTAATCTTCGAGATGATTGGCTAGAGAATGCCTCACAAACCTGTCTGATAAGTTTTGGCTCTTGTCCATTAATGGAAACACAGTTGTTCCTTCGGAGCTTTTGGGAACAGGTTTCGCTTCCTCGACGTACCTCAGTTCTGAAATCATTTGTTTTCCTCTGAGAGTCAGCAAGTCGCCAATAGTATCCGAACAATCATTTTCTGAATCTATCATTCTAAACGCAATGTCCTTTCCGTATGCTTTGATCTTGTTCAGGTGGTTTCGAATGGTTGATCGCGGAACTCCGTATGTCAACGAAGCCCGCCTCGTTCCCATTTTGCCATCGCAAACGTCTCGCAGTGCTTGCTGAAGGTCGCCCGATGAATAAGTTCGTTTATTGGCTGCGTTTCCATCTTCCAGCCCAGCGCCTCCGGTTAATTTTTCATCGTCACTGTCAGTTTTTGTTACATCCAAGACTGCATTATTTTCAGTTTTGACGCCAGATGAAGTTGAAGCATCTAGTATTTGGGACTCCTCTGTTTCCATAGGCATCTCTTGATGGACAACATTAGAGCCCATTACTTGATCTAATGTATGATTCCCGTTCTGCAAGGCCAGGGCGGCATCGAAGAAGTCGGTTACCATATTTTTAGACAGATTCTTTGGCATATCCGATAAACCCGGCATTGAGTAAAAAGGAAACATCATTGCGAAGTCATTGAAAGCGTTTGCAGATTGTATTTGCTGCTGTTGATGTTGCTGTTGCATTCCCATTTCGAGAAGCGACGCCGCCAACGCCTCAGTTAGCATCGGAAACGACAACAACGCTGCAGTCGCAGCATCTGAGTTCGGAGGAATAGATCCGAATGGGTTATGATGCACCTGCTGCGAAAATGCATTCGACACGCTAGTTGTATCCAAAGAGCTAGAGCATGCCGAGGTCTGTAAACTTTTAACTGCATCTTCGAGAGCATTCGAAGAGAAGAGTCCCGAAGAAACAGCCGGGAGGTCAAATTGAGTCGAAGATGCCCGTTCATCTATATGCGTCAAAGAAGTCGATCTTTGCGTTTTAACATCTTTCAGATAGCTCATATGATTTGCCATTTCTCTTTCTGCTATCAGTTCTTTATTCAAACAGAACATGCACTGGTCCGTGTCCTGATCTGGATCAAAGTCTATCGGATCTAGACTTTCTTCGGGGTTCAAGTTTCCAAGCTCGAGTTCGCTACTGGTCGCGTTTGAAATACTTGCGCATGTTCTTAAGATCTCATTGAAAACTTGAGTGACTTTTGATTTCAGACCTAAATATTGCTCGACCTCTTTGGCCTGCATGTTTTCAGTTACATCAGGATCCTCTTCATTATTTAGACAATTCTGCTGAAATCGACCTTCCATGATTCCCAAGGTCATCTTTTTGTGTCTTCGGACTTCCCCTACATACTCACGGAATTGCCGTTCGAATATAGTATCAAGAGCTAAACAGTTCAGCGCATTTTTCTTCTGCTTATCCAGTAGCTTTCGTGCCTGAATTTTTTCGTTCTGACATTGCAATGATGCACATGACATGTTTACTCTGAAGAAACAACACAGCATGTTTTTAAAAACCAAAAAGGATGTCAATATTATGTACATACATGAAAACTTGTAAAAACTTTGATTCCCACACCAGTCCTGCTGATATGGAGCATTTATCAAGGTAAAATCGGACGGAGATCTATGCGTAGAACAGTACCAAAAAGAAAGTAGACATCAAGCAGAGCGGGCATCGACTGGCTGAGAGGGGGTTGCTGCCACTACCTCTAAATCTGCCACTGGATTTTAGTATTTAACGCTAAAGCACTAGTTGTAAATTATTCAGAGGTAGTCAAACACATCGCAGTTAATTCAAAGTATTTGATCAAAATATATTTTGAAATTAAACATAAATCGGGAATTAGAGATAGTCAAGAGAATTTTCAAACCACTGCATCACATCACTTAAACAAGATCAAATCAAGCAGACCCGTTTTAGACAACGGCTATCGATCATTTACTCATTCTGTCATAACCTAAAAACTCGTGAAATGTGTCGAAATCATAGATGATTCTGAGACGAGGACTGTAGACAAACTTGAACCTGGAGTTGCTCATTCCTTCTAGTTCCAGTTTCTTAATTTTAGATCCAGGCTTGTTTTTCGAATACTGCATAGGTATTATTCTACTGGATTCAAAGATGGTATCGTGTCTAAAATAGGAGATACATTTCTGCATTACAAAAATCTCTCCAGATTTTAAGTGTTAAGCTACATCAGATAGGCAAATCGCAATTTAACGAAAACGAAACATTTTCTCTGCATGATATTTCGGGTCTTTTGTTTTATGCTTAAAATTCAGTTGGGTATCGATTAATGAAAATTGGGTATCGATTAATGAATCTGATTGATTGAGATGTCCAAACTATTTCGAACTTATGCTGAGAGTGGTAAAACTAATAGACCAAACCAAAAAAGAAACAATCGATAATTTGAGTATACTGCATGGTTATTAAAATTTAAAAGTTTATGATTTCACCAATAAGGTTTTAGAAAATGAAACTTAAATATTACGGATCCTTATCTCTTACCAATGTCACACAACCATTTTTTTACCTGTTTCCCCAGAAGGTGAGGTGTGCTAATCTAGTCCAAGTGCCACACTCGGACACATAGATGAACCCAATTAACCCTCTGGTGAACAGACTCATCCAGTAGAGGAGAGAACAGGACAACACAGCTACACTGTTCACTACTACTGCATCCAACAAAGTGTCTGCACATATTTCAATCAGGGACCAAGTTATCATGTCGATTCTAGTCACAGCCCTATTTGGCAGTAGAAAAATTGGTGTCAGGACTATTTGCCCCAAGTCAATTGGCCCTATGCCAACTTGTCCTATACTAACTTGCCCTACATGGCAACTTGTCCTATGCCAACTACCCCCACATGACATTTTGTCCTATGCCGCTTTATCCCATACTTAACACTTTTACTTGATTCATTGATGTTCAAATTGAGGACCAGCAAGTGCTAATGTACACTGGACTCGTTTCGAGATAACAAAAGACTCTAATCGAAAATATTCGAAGCTGAGCCTAAAAAACCATAATTTTTGGTAATATCAGGCCAAACTTTGACAATAATCCACAATTAGCGCCTTTGAAACAAAATGAAACACAGCTATTCTTTCATTTTGCTTCATTGTTTACCATTTCGTTCTTAAACATCCACATAAATACTTCAACATAAATACTATGAGTCAATTTACGTGGGGAATATCTCAACGAAACAAACGAACGCTAATTATTAACGGACACGATTTCACAAAAAAGCAGACGACAAAAACTACTGACCACTGGAGATGCGCAAGATACAGTTCACACAAGTACCTGCGGTTTTCCATTTCATTGATTTCATACTAAAATTTTTTGACTTCTTTAAGTTTTGAACTCTTGACTTCTTGATTAAGAGTGTTGTGCACTATTAACTATGCTATAGAAGCTTACAAAATCAGCAATCAATCTTTTGAAATATTTAACTCGACATGAAAGTTGCATTGAAATTTTGCCGCTTTCATTTTGTTCATGCATGCTTTGAACTCATTTTGAATCAGCGCATGTTTAAATGATTCCGCATTTTATTTCAAGTTTAATTGTTCAACAAAAAAGTCTTTCATCTTTATGCCGACATTATGTTCTACGAGGATATCAAAGAATATGGGGCAAGTTTCATTTTTTATTATATGGGACAAGATGGCATTGGACAAGTTGTCATCTGGGGCAAGTTGGAATCGGGCAAGTTGGGCTGGGACAAGTTGACCTGGGGCAAAATGACATGTAACCGAAAAATTAAGGAGGGGAGTTATTGATTTTTCCTCAAAACTTTCATGCAACAAATGCGATAACTCAGGTTAATAATTTGAACCTGTTAGTTAAATCTGATTTTATTATTCAACATCTTCTTTGATCATGATTGATCTATCTCCTCGGCCCGTATACACAAGAAAAGTCTGATAGATGTTTCCCAGAAAAATCGAAAATATGGGTCCCACGAATTTTTAGAACAACTGAAACGCTATTCAACCAAGTTGCATGTTGTTTCAGAAAATTTTGGCGACCATAATTTTCGCTGTGGCTTTCTATATATTTATCGGAGTAATTTATTTATACTTGTACACCAATGTGTTACCTAACATTTAAATTGGTCAGAAAATATTGTGCTTCCCGTTAAACAAACGGTGCCATGCTTTTTGTTTTCAGCTTAAAACAATGAGAACAATGGGAAGGGTGGTGAAATGGCTTAGACCTCGCCTATCCATTGGAAGGCAGTGATTCAAGAGCAATTATGCGCCATTACCACTGTTTGAAGATGAGGCGACAGCTCTAATATATATTTTTAAATAACGTCGGTCTTAATCAAGGGCCCATCAACGATTCTTCACCAAGAGCCAAAAAAAAGTGTGTTGGCACTTCTTTTTGTCGATTATTTTCTTAATCTTTACATTAAAATGATAACTTTCATGCGCCACTGCTGTAGATTGAGATAGACAAAGGAGGCAAAACTAACACAGACAATCCTGTCAGATAAATTTTCATCTTCGAAAATGCGATCACTGAAGCCAGTAATCTGAACCTGTAAAGAGGAATAAACTGAATTCTTTTCTCAATTATATCTTCCATCGTCAAACTCTTGACAGGTTGGCTATCTGATGTTTCCATGTTAATGAGGGGTGGTAAAATTGTAAGACGACTTTCGGGTGAAATTTTCTTTGCGAATATACCAACTGCTCGATTGTGCAATAAGCATCCCCTAAAAACATTATTTCGCAATGAGATTAAAGGAAGTCTCAAGGCAGTGTTCATTTTATATCTGAAATTGATAAGAAGGCGTTTCGTAGCTTTTTTCATTATTTCACAAAGGCGACGCTGAGCTTAGCAGCATATAATTATGGGACAGATCTTTTATCAGTTGATAAACGTAATTACCAAAAAAAGGCGCTACAACTTCAAAAAGCCGCCTGTTAAATATAGTTTTTGATGGAGTTTAAGCAACAGAATCCTTCTGACAAAATGGCAATAACAAAGCCATAACATTAGGATATTTCTTACTCCTTACTTGATTTAAAGGCTAGGCCCATCCAGCTCATAATAGACATTTACGAATATTACATTGGTGTGACAACCAGCCTTATCTTTAAAATGATTATAGCTAAGAAGTGATCTGAGCATACAGCTTTGTCTTCGGCTGTTCCCAGAAAAATCGGCTAACACAAAAAATTATAGGAATGGGTCGAGTGATATATCATCTTAAGCTCTTTCAGTCCTAAATCGTTCAACATTTCGAGCTAATAAGTTCTATAATAAAAACACTTTTTTTAAGCCCTGAAAAACTTGGTTTTACTCCAGGAAAACGAGTTTTCGAAAATTCACTAAGCGAATACGAAAACACAAACGAAAAAATATCTACTTTTGAATGTAGTCGGAACTCTTGTTTCAAGTTCAAGTCGTAATGATTGCTAGAATGTTTCAGTTAGAAGCGATATCAAGGATGCTTTTGCGAGAATATTTGAAAAAGGGGTACTAATTTTGCAGCAACTTTGATGTTGTTAGTATCACTATCTAAACATTTAATAATCTCTCGTGGGAGTGTATGTGGAACCGTTTGTTACGCGAATCCTCTTAATCGAGAGAAATTAAATCTCTAATTTTTCAGATGCTGATGTTGCAGTACACTTTGAAACTTGGAATAAAAATTAGCAAGCATGTGATCATTCGCAGAAAAACAACTATAGAAAACAATACAGTTGGCATTTTTAAAGCAATCGGAAAAAAAACGCCTACTAAAATTGAAAAAAAAACTACAAATTCGAAATAATAACGCAATATTCTTTAATTAGCACGAAGTATGAAAAACTTAGTCTAGTTTGTAAAACCCACTATGCAACTCATAATGTAATTGGCACTAACTAAAACAGAACATGTGACATCATTTTTGTCAAGAAAAAGGCTTAATTGAAAAAAATGAAAAGAAAACGCTCTATGAACCATGGAACCATTTAAACATTTGAGCCCGTGTCAGTACTTCCACGTGTCAGAAACTGAACGTCTTGCTTACAAATTTGTGAGAAAATTCAAAAATGGACTCATGGAAAATTCGAGTTCCTGATTACACTTAAATCGCGCTGGCAAGTGTAATTAAAGAGAGACCGCAACTATAACTTCACTTAATGAATTCAAAAAACTGTGTTAATGAATTCAAAAAACTGGGAAACCTAATCAGAAGTGGTCCTGTAAATAATATATTTTACACAACGCTTCTATAACTTTGAGTTCAAGTAAACTTAGCTTGAATTTCGGAAAGAATGATATTTTTACGACTCAGTCGACGGAAAATAAATCAAAAAGTAAAAAAAAAACTGCTTGTATCAGGGCGCAGAGATGAATGTTACGATTGCCTTTTAAGGTCTATGGAGCAGTAATAACATTTAAAAAATGTAATAAAACAAAATGAAGATTTTTTTTCTAAAATTAGAGATTTTTTGTGAAATTCATCCCCCACACAAAAGGATAGATTTCCATACAAAAGGATAAGCGATATAAAGTACAAAAGTATAGATTTCGCGCCTTGTAAAAAATCAATTATGGCAAATAAGCTTCTTTCAACCAATTTGGAACGATTTCTAAGACGGATTAAATCTCTGCCTACGCGTTGATAGCGAGAAATATATCGCGAGTTAATTGTCTCAAATTGGCAATCTTTAAACCCCCATAACTTTACTAAAAATGATCACAGGTCAAATATCTTTTCAAATTTAAGCTCAGGATAACAATAGTTTTTGAATGATACAAAATATTCGGTCAAAATGGCCAGTTCAAAAGTCGAAATTTGTCTTAAAAAACCCACCCTGAGCACGAATATTCCATTACTTTCGTTCAGAAAATCGGAACAAAAAACTACAAGACACAAGATGTGCTTCTGTTTATAGAAAAACCCACTTGCTATTGTTTTTTTCAGTCAATAAAGACAAGGCATTTCAAGCTACAGGCAAAGGAAACAATTCAGCATTTGTATACTGATATGAACCTACATACTTTTGACTTCACTTGCACCTAATTTGAATTTTGGAAGATTAACAACTTGACAAATAAGCCAACAGAACATCAGTCAAAAACAACCGACAAAAATTGTGCTCGATATTTATAGAAAACCACACTTGCTGAAACAACTTTTGAGTCAGTAACCATTAGACATTTCAAGGAACAATCAACCAGAAATCCGCATTTGAACACTGTTTATCACCAAAATAACGATTTTAAAAAATTTGTTAATTCTACTCTCTGGAGCGATAGGTGAGGGAAAGGGTAATAGCAGAGGCAAGTGGGAGATTATACAATTCATCCAATTATTACTACTGAACCTCGCCCCAGAAAGAAAAATTGATGTTTCAGACACAGAGGCGAAGCAGAGCTTCGCAACACTTTTGATACAAAAAAACACATTGCGCTACAACATTTGGAATGAAAAAAAAAGACAAATCAAAAATTTCAGAAAAATAGCTAGAAAAAAATTGAAAAAATAATTGACAAAAGTTGAAAAATTACAGCTACCAAAACTTCATATTTGTATCGGATGAAGTTCATAAACAGCTCTTAATACATGGAAATCAACTACCGAGTGGCAAAAAAGGTAAAAAAAACTTCGGGTCGAAACCTGCTGAGCCGAAAACAAAACTGTTGTCAAAAAAATTTCATCAGATCTTGTGTTGTCATAAAAAATTTCATCAAATTTCGTCCGCAGATCTTGTGGACAAAGTTGCTTACAGGGCAAAAAGTCTAGTACCCGATTGCAATACCCTTGCTTATCACAAGGGTAATTGTCTAGAACGTATTTTAAAACTTGATTTACCAACATACTGGGAGGCCATTTACACAAATCGAAGCCAAAGTGTTGTGCCAAAAACTTGAGAAATCGGTCAGTTCTAAAAGAACAACGAATAATAGCTTATTGTGCTTAAAATTGCGATCACAATAGAGGCAAAGAGGATCTTTGCATAGCTTGCGATATATTCGGTGCAGAAAAAGTGATATTAATCAAAAAGAGTAAAAAAACTCTCATACGAGCTCTCAATCAAAACAACTCTCATGCAAAATTATAATTCAACAAGTTGCTTGAAAAAAGCCCAACCAGGAAGAGTATTAGCAAAACGCAAAAAATGTGACTTGAAAATGATTGTTTTTTTTTAGAAGCGGATTTGACTGAAATGGATTTCGTAGACGCTATTATTGCCTTTAAGCTGCTCCACAAGGCAGGTCTCGCCAGTCGGCAAAAGCAGAAATTTTGTCCTCATTTTTTGTATCCATTTAATCTCAAACATCTTGCAAGTCAACAAAGAACGACATCTATTTGTTTGAGTGCAACCGAATTATTTGAATTTTTCCTTCAAAATGACTTCAGGGATTGATATTTACATAACATTTACAAAATCTTCACTTCTTTCAATTCAACTATATTCAGCTTGAATTTTCGGAAGCATAACAATTTTACGACTAGGTCGACAGAACATCAGTCAAAAACTAAAAAGACGAAAAACAGCTAGACACAAACCATGCTAGAAATTTATAGAAAACACCGCCTGCCAGAACAATTTTTGAATCAGTCCTGATTACGCACTTCAAGAAAGGAGCAATCAGAATCGAGAACAATCAGCATTCGCATACTGCTGAAATTCCAAACTCGCGTTTCTTTTTTAAAGTCAAATTCTACCCTTTAGATGGATATGTGTGAGGTGTGTCATCCAATTGCTATCTATTGAACATCGCTTCAGAAAACATTCCGATCTTGCCTGTATCAGATTATCTAGAACATATTTGAAAACTTAATTTACCAAAATACTGGAATGCCATTTGAACAAATAGAAGCCAAAGTGTTGTGCTCAATACTTTGGAAATTCATGTGTTCTAAGATATCTTTAAATTCGACAAAAAATAGCCATTTTTGTTTGAAAATACAATTTAAAAAAAAAGACGTGGTAGAGCATTGCCAAGCAGAAATACTTGGAAAGAAGGATAGCCTGTTACTGCGCAAGTAGCAGAGAATTTTCCGACCATGGTCTAAAAAAAATGCAGAAAAAAAAGTTATTTTTTGCCCAAAATAGAGTCGTGTTGTGACAAACGGATCTGTAAAAAAATGGAACCTAGGACTATACGACAGTCATAGCAAAAAAGGCAAATTGGACAACAGTAACGTTGAAAAATAAATTAGAAAACAAAAGACCAAAAAAATTTTTCTAAGTTTTTAATTCCAGAATGGCGCTGCAAAAAATCCAAAAATAACAATCCTTCAGTAACTTTAAGTTTTCATGGCCACAATTTAACAAATTTAGGCTATTGTAAGCCTTGTCCCTAGCATTATTCGCTCGAATTAAGACTAAAAAAAATAAATTTATAAATCTGTTTTTCTCGATACTGGGATAAATTTTTTAAATGTCATTCAAATCATGCCTAATAGCGCTTTAATATGATATATCTCTCGTTCCACTGCCATAATTTTTGTGTCAACTGCTTTTGCGTGGAAAATGAACAGAAGACAAACTAAAACACGCCCGAATACAAAGTTCCTCTCCATTTTTCAAGTGGTCGGAAAAAATGGATATAAGCAAAGCTACACTAACCACAAAGATTCTCAGTCAACTTTAAACTCAAAAAGCTCATTCATTAAGCCTACCCAGGAAGAGTAATGAAAAAAATGACAAAAAATGGGTCTTTCATGTTTATTTCAATTATGTCATAAATATTTTATATACAATTTCCACATCATTATTGTATTTGTTTGCAGAAAATTATTTGGTTTGCAGAAAACATTTCGA